ACAACAACAACAACAACAACAACAACAACAACAACAACAACAACAGCCGCAGCAGCAGCAACAACAACAACAACGACAGGGACAACAACAACAACAACAACCACAACAACAACAACAACAACAACAACAACAACAACAACAACAACAACAACGACAACAACAACAACGACAACGACGATCCTTATTTGTTCAATCCGCGGCCCCAATGGGTTCCGACCCCTTCCCCAGGGGGAACTGAATTTCGTCCCAGATCCATGTTTGCTGGCCCCGAGGCCCGAGAACGGGCCCGGGAGGCAGCACTCGAGACAATACGCGGGGATGCGTGGCGGCAGCGGCTGCGGTGGCGCAGCGTGGCGGCACGTAGCCTCCAGCCCAGCCAACTCTCTGGCGGATGCCTGCAAGGGCCTGCACAGAGCAGAACGCGGGAGTGAGGGAGAGGGAGGAATCACGACAACGAAGGGGGTGGAGAAGGTGGGCTGGGTCCGCGCGGATCCCCCAGGCCTGGCCCCACCGCATCGTGGGAGGGCAGAGGCCCCCACAACGAGCCCATAAGCCCCGAGAGGCCCCCAAGACTGTCCAAGAGGGCCCCCAGTCGCCGACGGCTCCTCCAGGACGGCTAAGTAGCCTCCAGACGGCCCAAGACGCCCAACACGCCCCAAGACGCCTAAGACCCCATGAGCCAGCAGTCATTGATGTTCAATCCATTTTTAAACGAACAAAAAAAGCGTCCTCGCCTTTTCGGTTTCCCGACGCTCCACGACGGCCCAAGAGGCTCCCAAGACCCCTCCAGACGGCCCTGGAGGCCTCCAAGAGAGCCCCCAAACAGGTAAAGAGAGCACCAACACGGCCCCAAAGCCCCCATACGGCCTCCAGCATGGCCCAAAAGAGCACCTAGATCGCCGCAAGAAGGGCCCCTGAGGGGAACCCGAGCCTGCATTTCGAGCCCTCGGCCCCCCCGGGACCCGTGAGAACCCTCCACGAAGCTCCAAGAGGCCCCCAAGAGGCCCCCGTGACGCGCCCGACAGGGCACCTCAAAGCCCCCTCGAGGCGCCCACGAGGCTCTCCGGAGCAGGAGCAACGCACCACAACCGCCAGTTCCCCAAAGTGCCGGCGATAGGGCATGATTCCAAAAATCGACAGGAGCTTCACGGATTAAGGGCGGGTCGATTTCAAAATGTGGCTCTCGCCTTAGCGCGCCCAAATTCGCTTTTAAAATTTGAAAGACATTCACGGTTGGGGGGGCGATTTCTTTTCGAAATGTGGCTCTCACCATGGCGCCACGCACATTCGTTTCAAGAAATTGCAAGCGTTTCACGGATGCCCATGGATACCGTACCAGAAATGGTGTTTTGGAGCGACTCAGGCTTGTCAGAATGCAACAGTACGGTGGACGACGAGGGCTGAGTCTTTTTCTTCCTGGCCGCCGGGGGCCGCCGATGGATGCCCCGCCCTGGGAGGCCCAGAGAGAGAGAGCGATGTGAACGTCCACAAATCTCGAACCTCGGGGAGGGGGGGAGGGGGGGCGAACGTGTCCACATCCGCGCCCTCGCGGTCTGGATTCCAGGGCGCGATCCCGCGGATGCGCGGTCGCAGGAGTATGCGCTCCGCACGGGTGGCCCCGGCGAAAAAACGCCCCATATCCACGGGGCCGCGGCCCAAGGGCCCCGCAGGGGACGGCCATGGATACGAGCATGTCTTCTGCCAGCGCCCAGGGGCGCGCACCGTGGCGCGCGCGGACGAGCGAGGGCCAGGGTGTGTACGGCAGGTCCGTGCCGTGTCGACCCCAGCGTTGGCTTTTGACACCGCGCTGGATCGTTCAACCTGGAACGATCGGCCGTCTCCGCAACGTCCGATCGTTCAACATCGACCGATTCTGGGCCGCCGGCGGCGTTCAACCTTGAACGTCCGCGCTGGGGTCGCCGCCGGTCGACACGACGCAAACCTACCGTACTGAGAGCACCGATGATCCTCAGAACGCGTGTTAGCGCCGACGCGCGCTTTTCCACACAGTCCGTTCCATGGGACGCAAGCGGCGACACGCGGGCCAGCACAGGCTGCATTTTGTCGGCGGGGCTGCTGAACGCAACGAGCACACACTGGGCTGACCCACCCCAGACCCCCGACGTCGTGATTTTTTCGTTCCGTGCCCCTCAAAAGTCTGGACCCCTTCCTGGGGACTGGTTCTTCCTCATGAGTCGTTTTTCGACGGTCCCGCGGCCCAGGAAAGGCCCCTGGAGGCCGAAAACATAGAAAAACCTCCCGTCGCGACGTTTCACAACGCGAGGGGGTTCTGGGACTTCCGGAGGATCATCGAAAGAAGAAGACGGCGCCATGAAATCTGAGAGGCAGCACGGCCTCGGCCATGAGATCCACCACCCCGTGACGCTCCCGACAGACCCGCGCCGCCGCGGCGCCTCCGTGCGGCGGTTGGCCGTAGGGCGGAGGTCCACCAGGGGGCGGCCCGTACCCAGGCGGCGGCCCGCCGGGGGGCGGCCCGTACCTTTGCGGATGGCATGACAGTGGACACTCTAACAATCCGATCGTTGAATTGAAGATGTGCTTAAAATGTGTAAAACATGTTCTAAACATGTTTCAAACATGTGTTTACAGATTTAAGGCATGTTAAACATGTTTTAGGCATCTGGGAATTACTTGGCAGCACGCTTCCTCTCCATTCATCGACTTCCACAACCGTACCTCGGCCGAGGGAACACATGGTCGGCGGGCCCTCCAACAAGGCAGCGCTTCTGTTGGGAACCAGAATCACTCGGCATCCAGTCAGGAACTCGGATAGGATCGAAATGTGCGGCAGGCCGTGCTGCATCGTCACGGGGTCGCCATCGAATCATAGGGTGCATAACTACGCAGTGCAAACGTCGGGCCACATCGCATCGCCAGGGTATTGACATCGAGTCGGATCGGGCCAGCCGAAATCAATATTGGATTGGATGGGTCGCCGGGGGAATATCTGGAAAGGGTCCCAGGAGGGGCCCGGGGTGGGTCCACTGACACCCACCCCTGGCGTTCCCCCGTGGAGGAGGAGGAGGATAGGGGGCCGCCTCCCTCGGCCCCAGCTCCAACCCCGGCCCCGGCCCCGACCCCAGCCCCACTCCCGGCCCCAGCCCCTTGGCCTCAAATACAGCCCCCGACCTGGCCCCGGCCTGGGCACCGGCCCCCGGCGCGGGCCCCGGGCACAGCCCCGGTCGGGCACGCCCCCAGCCCCAGCCCGCCCCCGAGGAGTCAGACCGCTCTCCTCCTCTTTCTCCTCTTCCTCGTCCTCCCTCTGTTGTTATTATCATCATCATGAGTCCCACCAGCCCTTTGGGCGTAGGTGGTCTAGAGTATGTCTTTAGTTGCCCTTCCTACTTCCCCTTCGGGGGGGGGGGGGGGTATCGCTGTTTTTAATCATGGACCCCCAACCCGAGACCATGCGGGCCCCCCCCCGCCATCCCTTGTAAGAAAAATACAAAACACACTCTGCCTCCAAATTCAGAGCGTGCGCAGCGAACCCGATGCGGCCTCCCCCCACCATCCCTTTGAAAAAACAATACAGAATACACTTGGCTGCGGCGGGGGCTGCGGAGGCTGCGGCGGGGGCAGCGACTGCGGCGGCGGTGGCGGCGGCGGCGGTGGGGGCGACGGCGGCGGCGGCGGCGGCGGCGGCGGTGGGGGCGACGGCGGCGGCGGCGGCGGCGGCGTCGGCGGCGGCGGGGCGGCGGCGGCGCGGCGGCGGCGGGCGGCGGGCGCCGCGGTGGCGGCGGCGGCGGCAGACAGCGGCGGCGGCGGCGGCGGCGCGGCGGCGGCGGCGGGCGGCAGCGGCGTCGGCGGCGGAGGCGGCGGCGGCGGCGGATTCGCCACCAGTAGCTGCCCATCCAAAGACGACTGCTGAATATGCTGCGGCTCGGGCCAGGCTCGGGGGCTACGTATGTATTGGGAGGGCGGGTGGGAGTGAGCGAGACGGCTTGCGGGCGGGGAAGGAGTCTTGACCCCTTCCCCCTACCCCCTCTTCTGGACCTGGACGGAGGTTTCGCGACGCGTTGGAGCGTCCAAAACGGCCTCGGCGAGGAAGCCAAAATCATTGGTTCTACTTTGGTTTTGGCCCCATTTGGGCCTCCTGAGGAGGGACCGTAATTGGGGAACCCCCTTCTTTGATCGATGTCCCCCAAGATGGCCCCAAGAGGCGCCCAGGAGGCCCCAAGCGGCCCCAATATGGCCCCAAGATAGCCCCAAGATGGCCCCAAGAGGCCCCCAAGAGACCCCCAAGAGGACCCCAAGCGGCCCCAAGAGGCCTCCCCGAGGCACCCAAGACGCCCAGAGTCCCTCAGGACCGCCAAGAGACCCCCAAGACGTCCCAAGAGGCCTCCAAAAAAACGCCCAAGAGATATCCCAAGGGGCTCCGAGAGGCATTCAGGAGACCTCCAAGAGACCCCGAAGAGGCTTCAAGAGGATCCCCGGGGCCCCCAAGATCCCCCCCAGACGCTCCAAGAGGTTTCCAAAACAACTCCCAAGAAACATCCTAAGAGGATCTTATGTTCGTCATGTTTCCTCCTCCTCCTCCTCCTCCTCCTCCTCCTCCTCCTCCTCCTCCTCCTCCTCCTCCTCCTCCTCCTCCCCATTTATCCGCCGACTCATCATCCGAGAACCAGCACCAGCAGCAGCAACAGCAGCAGCAGCAACAGCAGCAGCAACAGCAGCAGCAGCACCAGCAGGAGCAAGAGCACCAGCAATAACACTTGCAATCTTCGCTGCAAAAGATATCCCATCTGACCGTTGTTGCCCGCTCTGGTTCACTGTGTGCGTCTTTTCTTCCCTTCTTCCATCAGCTTTCCTGGGCATCGTTTCTGCTGGGTTTTTGGGGATACTTTTTAGTCAGCGGCCGCGGGCGAGCGCGCCGGCGGCGTGTCAGGTCAAAGCGGGCTACGCAAAGACTAATTAGGCAAAGGAAACGCGGGAAAAACAAACAGAGCGACGCGCGAGGCGACAACTAAGCGCGGCCGAGGCCTCAGATGGGTGGCTGTCGGGACTCAGACTGAGGGGAACTGCCAGCGTGCACAGCTGCAAATCCGTCGGAGGCGCCAAACGTCGGAAAGTCAACGACGGCCAGGGACAACTCCGAGAGAGAAAACGTGATACCGTACCTCAGACGACTGCGTAGCACCAGGGTGGCCTTGGCCAACGAAACGTCGGTCGAGGTAGGAACGAGAAATGCAAAGCCGAGGCCCCGGACGGCGCGAAGCGCGAGAACCAGGGTGGTCCAAAGGACCGTCGGCCAAAGAATTGTTGCCAGAGGCGAGAGCGCTGGCAGGCTGCAACTCCCAGGGTGGCGGAAGCCGAGGGACCCCTGGCAGCAGCACGCACGAGCGCGGAGAAGCGGCATAGCCACGACGCAAGCCAAAATGGGCTGGTGTAGATACGCAACATGCTTGGAATGCTAACGATTCGCATTCCTAGTATCAGCACTGTGTATGAGATTGAATAGCATTAGTAGTAGTACTACTAATACTATTACTCTTACTCTTACTCTTATTATTACTCTTACTCTTATTCTTACTCTTCCTCTTACTCTTACCACTACTACTACTACTACTACTACTACTACTACTACTACTACTACTACTACTACTACTACTACTACTACTACTACTACGACTACGACTACGACTACTACTACTACTACTACTACTACTACTACTACTACTACTACTACTACTACTACTACTACTACTACTACTACTACTACTACTACTACTACTACTACTACTACTACTACTACTACTACTACTACTACTACTATGCTGCTGCTGGCTCTGCTGCTGCTGCTGCTACTGCTACTACAACTACTACTGCTACTACGACTACGACTACTACTACTACTACTAACTACTACTACTACTACTACTACTACTACTACTACCTACTACTACTACTACTACTACTACTACTACTACCTACCTACCTAGTACTACTAGACTACACTTACTATTACTACTACTACTACTACCACCACCACCACCACCACCACCACCACCACCACCACCACCACCACCACTACTACTACTACTACACTACTACTACTACTAGTAGTAGTAGTGGTAGTGGTAGTGGTAGTGGTAGTGGTAGTGGTAGTGGTAGTGGTAGTGGTAGTAGTAGTAGTAGTAGTAGTAGTAGTAGTAGTAGGTAGTAGTAGTAGTAGTAGTAGTAGTAGTAGTAGTAGTAGTAGTAGTAGTAGTAGTAGTAGTAGTAGTAGTAGTAGTAGTAGTAGTAGTCGTAGTAGTAGTAGTAGTAGTAGTAGTAGTAGTAGTAATAGTAGTAGTAGTACGTTCATGTGTAATATCATTATGACCATAGAGAAAATCCACGATTGGTTTTATACGTACAATTCATGTGTTCGACTGTATTCAACTGCTTAGTATTACTCCGACCCTTCGTAGAACTACCCGTAGCATCACTCATGCATTCGCAATATTACCCTTACGAGTACAACTAGTCATACTCTTCTACTGAATCATAGTATTGTCCTCTATGTGGGTATGTCTCGCAGTCGCCTTCTTAGTGGTCTTATGTCTCGTCATATTAGTCTCCGTATACGGTATGTGCGTGATAAACGTTTGTATTATTCTTCATACTACTAGTCATCGTGTTACCGATATTAGTAGTAGTAATGGTGTTCCTCGTCGCCGCATTCTTCTTATCAATATCCTTAGTACTCCTTATATTTGTTGAATTAAGATTGATCGTATGATTCTCAGTTTTCGTCAGGTTCGGCTTGTTCGTAATATTACTAGTACGATTATCAGTCGTATGCATATTCTCCGTTATTATATTGCTATCATTGTGAATACTCTGATTGGGATTAGTCGTAGTACTCTTATTGTGATGCTCAATGTTGATATTATTTGCATTATTACTACGATCCTCGGCAGCGTTATTCTTATTATGATTATCACATCTTTAGCTCTTTTGCGGGGGGGGGGTCCTCCTTGGAGAGCCACTTGGGGGCCTCAAACAAATGTGTCAGGGCTACTTTGAGCCCTCTGGAGGCCTCCTGGGTTCCTTGCGCCATGTACCTTGGTCCTTAATGTTTGGCATGCAGGCGGAAGTACAGGAAGGCAACAATGCAAGTTAGCGATAACTCCTTTTTGCCTTTTTCAAACATCGTCACGATTGCTTTTAACGCTATTTTGGAGGGGGGAGGGGAGCGGACACATCAGTACGATGACACACTCGGCGACAAAAAGAAATCTCACCGAATACACATCGGACACAGTGCGAGTAGCCTGGCGTCAGTATGATGGCACACTCGGACACATCAGCACGAGTTTTCCACATAAATCTCCCGAGGGGCCCCCATGCCCACATGAAATTCAAAAAATGGCAAATCAATGGATGTGACATTTTTTTAATCTTGGAGGTTCGGCCAAATCCACTGTATTTTGCAATGGGAACGCGCCTCGCGAAAAAAACAACAACAAAAAAACATGCTGAAAACTCGGGGCCTCC